ATATATATATATATATATTAGTTTTAGCTTTCGAGCATAATTGATGTAAGTTTGTCACATCGATAAGTTTTCATATACATTGAGATAATGATAATACATCATAATAATTTACATTCGTTGGAAAGCAACTCGATTTTTTTCGGATTTTCTTTCTTCTGGCCACTTTCCCATCATCTCCTTCCTTTCTTTCGGTTCTGGTTTCTCTTAGCAGCTGTCAGCTTGATCCGAAATCGTAGTCCCGAATCGATCAAGGGTGAATCGTGAACTGGATGCAACTTAGCAATGGTTGTTGCGTCGAACGAACCGGTTTAACGCGCGTTGAAAGAGCGAATTGGGGAGAAGCATGAACAAAAAATTCATTTGAATCGGCCGACCCGGGTCGAGCAGAGGCGTCGAAATAATTGGATTTTAATTTTCGAGGTAGCGCGAGGTAGAACAAAAAAACGCGGGTGCACCCCCGGTCCTGAGAACGGTTCTCCGCGAATGTTTATGTAATATCGCGACACATTCGTCCTCTCTACGTCTGCGGAACCCTTCGTCTTTCCCACGAGTTCACAATGAATCCTCAAGTGTCTCGAAATTTTTTCATCAGAGTGTCATCGTTGTTGGAGACAACGGCTGAATGCATTCACGTATTATTCTTATCAATCCTTAATTAAACAATTCAATTTAATTAAATTTGATTAAAAAGATTTTAATTAAAACACGTAGCTTCTTGAGATTTTTCTGTTATTATAGTTTCGAATCGATATAACATAATTGTGTGCAGCGATTTTTTTTATGCTATATTTTTTTATATTTTTTAATATTTTTTATTTTTACATTTTTTATATTTTACATTTTTTTATCTTTATATTTTTATATTTTTATACTTTTTATATTTTATGTTACATATTTTATAACATTGATCCAGCAAGATGAATTCAACAAAATCCGTAAAATTTACCTCAAAATTTAAGTATTAAGAATCAAGTCCGGTCTATCGAGGACTCATATCAATTCTCGTTGCTTGGACAAAATAAAAGGACGATGGCTCGCTTCGACGGTTCGGTCCATGAACAGTGCGTGGGGACGGCACAAAGGAGGCGAATGTTTTAATTAAATCTCGGGGAAACGTGGAAACTTCGCCATCGCTCGACGTTTTTGCGATTTTCCGAAAGTTTCGCTTCGCGCGCGCAGTGCGGGACGGCTTTTAAGGTGGCGATGGAAGAAAAGGAAGGACGAGGTAGAATACGGCGGGAGGACGAGGTGCTCGAGCAACCCCCTCTTACATCCCTATCGTCTCCTTCCACCTCTCCCTGTTACCTTTTCCATCGTCACTCCAACCGCCGGCGCTATCGCCGCTAAAATAAAAGAAGCCGCAAAAACAAAAGAGCTCTGCGGCTACTTAACGAAACAAATTGTTGTTACGTCCTGGGGTTGAGAATTTTAAAGTTTCCAGCAGGAAGGGGAAAGTATCCTGCCTTTTTATCGCGCTGTTCTCTCTTTTCCGGGACCTCACGCTCCGTTCATCAGTCGACAGTTTAACGTAATTCGGGGCTCGTTAGTACTGCTTTCTTTTCTTGTACTTTCGGGCTTGCAGTGTTGGCGTAGAGTCGCACAAGTAAGCCGCGTATTTTGTGTTGATGATTGTATGGATACAAGTTGATCGGATACATGAGTGCAATTAATCACTCGATCGAAAAATTGCCGCTTTATCAATATACTTTCTCGTCGCGTACATGACACAAGCGTTATGATGCGGAACGCACATTTCGCCGCATACCGCGTCATCCGTTAAATCTCTAGTATGATGTAACGACACGCTCGTTAGTACACGAGCGTGAGTGAGAACGAGGATCGTTCGAACCGCCGTTGGCGGTCAGCTACGAGTAAGTAAGACTATTTCACAATGCACAGGAACAAGGCGATACATTCAGCTGACGAAATAAAAAAACGAACGGCGATACACATACGACACATGCCAATGGATAAAGAGACAAAAAAAATAAGATAACATCAAGATCAAAATGATGAACAGATAAATGAGCAAAGCGATTGAGATGCAAACGAAACAAGAATAATTGCGAGACGTTCCAGAGAAGTTCGCGCGGAAGCGAAATCATAATCGAGCAGAATATAGCGAACTGAATAGTGTTGAATGTCGATAAATTAAAGAAAAATAATGTCAATGAGTGAGACGAGACGCAGCGCGTCTGCGACGTGCAGGATCGACAAGTTAAATGAAATGTAAAAGAAAAAAAACGGCTGACAAAATTTCGGCCGTTGATGAGAGAAAGCAAGGAACTTAAGGTACGGACGCGCGCATGGGCAGGGAGAGCGTTAATAAAAAGGATTTTGTGAACGGGCTGAGTGTTCAACTCACTCGCTGCAGGGTAGACCAGCATTCCTCGAGGGTGCGTTCGCTGATGTTGCCCATTCCTCCACCACCGCCGGCACCTACTGCACCTCCAAGCCCCGCCGCAGAGGCACGAGACTATCAGGCAAGATAGGATAGCTCATGTTAGTCCTCGATTCTCGTCGTTCTTTTGACGCTAACCGTCACTACTACAAAGCTTCTTTTCGTCGAACAGTAGTCCGCGACTGCTACTTCGAATATAAAAACAAGCGCGCTCTGCCGTGACAATGACAAGCTGAGAATGGCATGACGAAATGAATATTTCTATCTCGTGTGGACACATAGAAAGTAGTTATGGAATCGCTCGATCGAGACCGGTCACGTGTAAATTAATATCGGCATTCGCAATAATTATATTACTCATTAATTTAAAACGTGATTCTTATGATATTATTCGCAGTATCTTCAAGTATATTGTATCGCGACTATAGCCGATTCTCTTGGTTCTTCTCACGGACGATATTTATAGTCTCTCTCTAATTACAAATCACCGATGCTCATAGACTTGCTAACACGATCTCAAAGTTCCGCTATCTGTCGAGAGATACGATGCGTGATTTCTCTCTCTCTCTCTCTCTCTCTCTCTCTCTCTCTCTCTCTCTCTCTCTCTCTCAAACTCTTGCATTCTAGCTCTCTTGCATTCTCACGCTCTCTTTTCTCTCTCTTTCTCTCATCGAAACTCCACGGCCCTTGCTGTCGCAGAAACACGGCGATATTTTCTTGGTAACATCTTCCCGGCGTACTGTATGACGTATGCGTATGGTATTATCTGTGTTGCGCGGGTCAAGAACCCCGGGAGACAACGTATCTGCATCTCCTCGCATTGGTGTGCGTGGGCCGCGTTCGCATTTGCGGACCGCACTGCTACTTTGATGTGCGTGCTTTCTCTCTCTCTCTCTCTCTCTCTCTCTCTCTCTCTCTCTCTCCCCCGTGTACGAGCGTATAAGTCAGTACTATGTAGTAAGTCAACGTACTCTATTGATGTGCATGTGTGCGTTTACGTGCGTCTGTGTATCTGGGTACGAACCGTGGTCAGCGTATCTGAGTATAGTCGCGTAATCAAACTGACGAAATTGTCGATGACATGTGACTTTGTAACTCTAAGATAATGCTAAATTAACGAAAAAATTATCGCGTTCGAATTCCGCCGATTTTCCACATAAACGTTGTTTGCAAGCAGTTTTACGTGAACGATAAGTTAGAATCGGCATTTGATATGTTTAACGAGAGTTGCATTAGTAATGCACATTTCAACTAAATGCCTTATTTTTGAGCGAGACGATATATTTTTGCAAAGCATTGAAACCACGCTATTTACACGAACAAGTACCGATATATAGGAGAAACCTTGATATCTCGCGATACTCTTGGGACCCGTCGACGCTGTCATCCGACAACGTCATTGAATAAATATTTTTCCCCGCGAGAAGAGAAACCTCGCTTGAAAGTATTGTTCAGCGTCTGTCGGCTTGCAAGTGAATGACCCTATTTATCGGTGCGTTATGTATTTTTATCGCGGTCGCCTCGCCCTAGTTATTTATCGCTGCTCTCCTCGCAGTGGATACGGAGAGTCGCGAGACACCCGTCCGTTTCTCTTGCGAAGCGGAAGATAATAGAAAAAGTATGCATGCACACATAATGTATGCGTGTAGAACGGAGGTGAAACAAATATTTTTTTATCTTCGAGTCACGAATGTAAAATTCAGAAAGATTCCAATTCAATGTATAGCTTCTCACCTGTAACTCGTTGACGAGCTTCTCCGTGAGAGTAGCGTCGTGGGAATCCTGACTGGTCGCGCCTGGACTCAGCATAGAGTTCTGTGAATTCTGCTGTTGAGTGCCCGACATGTTCATACCGGCGAGACCACCGTTCTGCGCGATGGTGCCAGCCATGTTGAGCGCTTGCTGTTGCAGATTCTGGGTGAGATTTTGCGCTTGCTGTAGATTCTGCGTAAGATTTTGCGCTTGTTGTTGTAACGCTTGCTGATTAAGCGCCTGGCCAAGATTTTGCGTGAGGTTCTGCGCCTGCTGCTGTAGCGTCTGTGACAAATTCTGCGCTTGACTTTGGATGTTCTGTTGCAGACTCTGACTCGCTTGACTTAAATTTTGCGGCTGGTTAAGCAATTGCTGTTGTTGTTGCGGCGACAAACTCGGCGTTAAACTCTGTGCCAAATTATGCTGTAGGGTTTGTCCGAGATTTTGCTGCATGTTTTGCGTGAGCGCTTGTGTTAGCGCTTGACCCAGGTTCTGATTGAGCGCCTGAGCCGCCTGAACAGCCTGGACCGCCAACGATGGACTTGACGCCTGCGACATTGTTTGTTGCGCCTGGGCGAGGCTGTGCAGACTCTGGGCCATACTGGAGGCAATGGCGCCTTGATGATCCGCCTGTGGTGACGGCGTCGTCGGTGCCGGGGAAGACTGATGCTGTGGGCCCTGATTAGCCTGGTTCATCGACAATGCATGTTGCTGTTGTTGTTGCTGCATTTGTTGTTGAGGACTAGCTGTTTGGCCGAGTGTCGCGTTCGTGTTCTGCTGTACTTGCGAAACCGCAGTCTGCTGCTGTTGTTGCTGCTGCTGTTGCTGCTGCTGCTGCTGCTGTCCGAGCGGACTGTGCATCTGCTGGACCTGCTGCTGATGCTGTGTCGAATTCGAGATGGGACTATGCTGTATCCCGGGTGAATGTTGAGGCGGACCACGTTGCGGCTGCTGCCAGTAATCCGACATCTTAAATACGTGTTGGCGTAGCGCGTGGAGGTTCGCGGCTGCCGCGGTGACAGCCGAGGCTTGGATCTCCATGGGTTCGGAATCGTTTTCAAGGTCGGGTTCTGGCGAACTACAAGGATCTTCGTCCTCCTCCTCGTCCTCCCGCTCGGTGATGTCCTCGTCTTCCTCGTCGTGAATTCTTGTGGACCGGTCCGGCTCGGGTCCGGGCGGTCCTCCGCCAGCAACAACAGCAACACCACCGGCGCTTCCGCCGCCGCCGCCACCTCCACCGCCACCTCCGCCGCCGCCGCCACCTCCTCCACCGCCGCCTCCTCCTCCACCTCCTATCCCACCCCCCGAATCGCCAGAGTGGAGATGATTCCCCGGGTGATGCTGATGATGATGCTGCTGTGGCAAGTGATGGTGAGGACGCGACTCTGGATTTTGGTTGTGCTGCTGCTGCGGATGCTGCGGCTGCTGCTGTTGTGGCTGCTGCTGTTGCTGCTGCGGCGGTTGCTGTTGCTGATGGTGATGCTGCGGCTGCTGGTGGTCTAGCTGGCCGAAGTCTGGTTGGGCTTGCGTCTGGGCACGCAGGTCCAGGGCCGCCGTCGCGTCCGAAATTTTGAGGCCTTCGCGAGAAGCCCGGGCTACCCCCTTCCGGCGCAGCTTGCCCGCTTTTTCGCACCCCTTCCGGTAAGCAGCTCGACGGCCGGCACACCTCTGCGCTCGCCGCCGTTCCTTCCTACCTTTCTCCTCGCTCGGCCGCTGTTTTCAGCCTCGGGATCGTCGTAACGATAACGATCCTTGCGCCGTGCCGAGCTTCGACGTGGGCGGCGGGCAACGTCAGTTACTCGCCACCTGCTGCGACTTCCCAGCCCTGCTACCTACCGCCTGGCTCATGAAACTTCCTCTTATGATTCCTCCACTCCTTCTTCCGGGTCCTCTCCCAGATCTTTTCTTCTCTATCGCGCCTTCCCTAAGTCGTTGCTGTCGCTGTTGGTTGCGATGCCTCTCGCGAGAACACCGCCGATCGGTGATTGTACGTCCGTAATGCGTCCTTTATCGTAATGTCTTCTTATGTACGCAGGTGGCTGTTATATCGCGTACGTATGCGTTCGTTCGCGTTTCGCAGTTTAGTTGATGGTCCTCTTCTTTCTTGTTATTTTTCTCCCCCTCCTTTGTGCGTCATATGACTGTGTGTATGTGTAATAAATGTATGTGTTGGTGAGCTTTATATTGTGTGCTTTGCGTGAGTTGTTGCGCGCGCGAGCGAACGTTCTCCAGCAAATAGGAGAACGGTCTATTTTCCTTCGTCTATCTAACTTAAATTCTAGCGTACACTTAAGTTCAGGTTAAAATTCAGGATTGCCCAGCCCGGACGGTGTAAACGAGAAGGATAGTCCACGCGGACGCGAATCGTTTATCGGTCGGAAAGGCTTCCACTCCTCTTCGGGGTGAGAAATCACACTCGCGGATGATTACTGCTCGTCCCGTTTTGCCCTGAGTATTTTAGCCCCGTTATGTTGGATGTGCGTGCGTGTGTGTGTGTGTGCGTGCGTGTGTGTGCGTGTGCTCGAACGCGCTCGAACAGGCTCGAAAAGTTGGTGTCTGCTGTCGCGCGCGTCGGCTTGAATCGGTGAGTCCGTGTGAATTCTTTTAAGCGGGACGAGAGCGTTTCTCTCCGAGATTTCCGTCACTCCGTTTCTGCTTCTGCCTACTTCCTCCGATCGTCTTCTTCTTTTAAGCTGCCGTGTCGCGTCCGTCGATGACTCCTCCTCGAAATGCGACTCTAGCGTTTTAACTCTTTAAAAGGAATTCTATTCGATTATCGATCACCGCTTGTCGTTACCGATATCGTCGATGGTAGTTGTGGTTGCTTCTTATTATCGTTTAGGTTTAATTAATATTGCACTTAGGTACACTCGTTTTTTGAACACACTGAAATATATATGTATGAGCGCGGGGTTTTCTGTCGAGCTTTTTTTCCGATTCTTGCTTTTTCTCTTTCTCTCTCTCTTTCTTTCTCTTTCGCTCTATTTCTTTCGATCTTTGTCTCTCTGCGCTTCCGTAGCTCTATTGCGCCCTTTCTATTCGATCTTTCTGTCCTCTATCTCCTTCCTCGCTATCTTCGGATACGCACGATCAACTCGCTAATCACTTTCTTCTTTGCAACCCCGCTTCTACTCGTTCGGCTCTCGGTCTTACGCTCTTCTGCTCCTCTGCTTCTGCTTTGCTCGTCTTATTCTGCTTCTTCCGCTTTGTCCAGTCTTCCTCTCCTGCGCGGGAATCTCTCGCTGCAACGCGTCTCCCGCTCGAAGCTGCAATCCAGAAAAAGAAAATACAATTTTTGCGTTGTCCGACGTCACGCACGACGAACATTCAACACTATAATATTTTCAATGTCATAGGCAACCGTTTTACACGTCTTTGCTCGTGATCGGTAGAGTGTATTTAAACGTCAATCAGACGTACGTACATTTTTAAAAGTATTTGATCGAAGGTTGTCACAATTTACTGTGATTTTTGATAATATTAATTATAAGATCTGATTATAAATCCAATAATATTAAGACGTAAAATATCTTGACTAATTCCCGGTATGTGAGCGTAATATTATTTAAAACATTGATTTTTGCTAGATGACACTGCCTAAAATCAGCTGTCGTAACACGAAAATATCGAGTGCCGAGTAATGCGACGTGAATCGAGTTAGAAGAATCCTAATAAAATTTTGCAATATCAGAAAGATATCAGCCGCGAGATTTTATCATCTTATAGCGAGGTAACGTTAAATGCGATTTTCTTTCGGCTGACGTTTATGAAGGGTTTACACTTTCGGCCGCGACACAAACAATAATTTCAACCAGCACTGTCAGAAGCACGCACTAATTACGCGGCATAGTAAATTTCGTCCATTTGACACATCCAGTTTTCATGTCGATAATTTAACGTTACACAAATTCATACCCTCCTTTTAGTTACACCGAGTGTCGTTGACGCGGAATTTCCAATTAGTTTTGTATTTTAGAAAAATCAATTGGTTCACAAGTGTGAAAGTAAAAAGCGTGAACGTCTTTTGCCGTCGCGTGATGCTCAGCACTGATAACTGCGGAAAAGATACGTAATATAAAAATTCAGGATCGGTACGGAGAACTAAAAAGATTTATAACTGAAAGAGAGTAACATGTCGATAAATCAAATATTTATTCAAATAAAAGTAATGTCAATATAACAACGAGCAATAAATCAGAGTATAGTGAATAGGATAAAAATAAAATGTTCCGGAACACTGAATATTCTCGGGAACTGGGAAAAAAGTTGTGATTTACATTAACATCACTACGAATAACGTGATGTAACATTATGACACTGTCGCTCACACATAGAATTGCGTTCGCGATCTTTTTTTTTTTAATTTTCTTCTTCGTTAAATTGAGAATTTATATTTTTGCCGTTATTTCCCGAATTATATTGTTACTTTTCCGATTAATTTTGAATATGCAGTCAGATTTTTTCGTAAAAGTTGTTTGTCACTAAGCGATGAATAGGGTCGACGCGTTGACGATGATGTCAATGAAATGCCAAATAATTTGTTGCACCGTGTGCCAGGTTTACGCGACGTGACGAGCATTGTCGGCTGCTCGCTGAATTAACGGCCCGAAATGATCACGCGCACGGATATTCGCATAATTGCTAACTCGTTTACTTGCGACATGACGATTCGTTACGTTTATTGTTCGCCGTGTAATTCCGCGACCGCAAGCATCAAGTTAATGATTTGTGTGACCGATTTCGACGAGGTTTCGAGATAGCGGTGATTGAGCTTCCTTTCTCTAGTCCGCCTTCTCATCATTCGCTTCCTCACAATCTTACCGAAGCACATCGTATCACACCGGAAATCGAGAGGGGATCGGAGCGTGTGCGATCGCGACGAAACACTGTCGAGACGGCGACGATGACGTACCGGGCATGTCAGGATTCGGAACAGGGAATAGGAGGGGGTGGGTCAGTATGGTGGTCTCGGACCGAAAGTGGGGAAAATTGACTAAAATCATACGAAAGTAGAAAAAGAAGAAAACAAAATCGTTGACGATTGGGTTCTATATTAATAATGAAGGCCTAGATGCACGATGTCGCAAAGTATCGTTACGTTCACATAACTCGCGACACAAGATTGGTTGAACAGAATATTCCGAGAGAAAGAATCCGAAGTATCTCTTACTGGAGAGATTCAAGTGCGAATGATAGACGGGTAGATGCGGCGGCTGGTGATAGTCGGTAGTATACGCGTAATACGTTGCACTTCGGTCCGGCTGCTCGCGACCTTCGTGCACGGTATCGGCCAAGACACTGTTCTTCCTCTTCGAAGGACGACGACGGTAACGACAACGACGACGAAGACGACGATGACTACGACGACGTACGACGGGGGGAAAAAGCTCTCTCCTCTTCCGCGTTCGAGTCCTTGACGGAGGAGGAACCGAAACTGACTCGGGTCTGCGGCTCGCGAGAAACGCTAAGTCCTTCTCCGTCGGGGGTCGGTGGTGGCGCGCTTCTCAGACCGCGTGCGTCTGACTAAAAGCCACCCCCTCGTGCCTTAAAGAACGCGTGTTCGGGTAGGGGCGTTGTCTTAGGTGGTGCGCGGCCGCGAAATTTCTGGCCACCTCGGGGCGCCTTCGTCGTACGCCGTTTCTTATTGTGGCGATTTCGTACGCGGGTCCGACGGGCCCGGGCGCGGGCCCAGGTTACCGTGGACCGACTCGTGACCCCGGCCGCGTCCACCCACGACGAAAATCTACCTCCGGGAGGACGAAAAACTGAGGCCGTCGTAGGACAGGAGTTTTCAAGCTACCCCTCTTTTCCTTTGCCCCCACCAGACACGACGCCGAGGCGCGCGCTCTATCTCCCCCTTTTCCTCAAACTCTCCTCACTCTTCACCCCGCGCCCAGGTGGGTGGGGGATTCTCCGCCGCCGACTCCGCCGACGCCTCGTACGGGGGTAAGCGTCGTAAGGGATGAGAGAAAGAGAGTGGGGTGGCTCTCCGTCTCCGTTTCGCCCGGCCAAGAAAACCTTCCTGGAAGGAGAGTAGGAGAAAGTCGTAAGAACCGATTATCTGTCTCTGTCTATTTTGATCGCTATCTTATACTCCGCGGTTACGTTCCGGCGTAGGTAAGTACGCGAAGCCAAGACAACCGGGTTCTTGGACTGTATACTCTTTTACTTTGTCCTTGAAAACTTTTCACCTGACCGTCGCGGATCATCGCTGTCACGTAAACTCACTTGGATTTTACACAATTCTCCCTCGCAAATTAACGAATTCTCATTTAACGGCGAGTATATAAGCCTCACGCGTCACATGCGAACACTATGAATCGGGATATTCGACTGACCGAAAAATTGTAGGGGGCTTCTGTATAAGAGGGTGTAACAGTCTGAGGTACGAATAAAAAAGAAGGGGGACCATCGTATAAAAATGGTCTCCTCCCTCATGTTCCGTATGGCAACGCAAGCGTGACTAATCGCGGGGGAGTGGGGCAGGCTTTCTTTTTTATCCCTCTTTACGAATCATTCTGTGCTCAAGTAAATTGTTCTTGATCGTATTCTCGATATTAATAACGCGAAGTTTGTTCGCAGTTCGATAGCGATCAGTTGATTAAGTGTCGCGAATTCATCGATCGGGTCGGAAAAGCGGATTCGAATAACATCAAATCACTTCGATCATCTGTCATCCGACACCCTTCCTACTTTCTCCCCCTCTCTCATTTTGAAAGTCAAATCGCGATTTAAACATGGATCATCGACCTTGCGGAGGACGTCGACTTTCTAGTGGATGCGCTGATGCTCATTTCGCGGCGAAGGGTGGTCGATGGTCATCCTGCTCGTCTTACGCACCCTCCTCGCCGAAGTAGACAACCAAGCTATCCCTTCCTTCCCTTCTTCTCCCTCCCTCCCTCTCTCTCTCTCTCTCTCTCTCTCTCTCTCTCTCTCTCTCTCTCTCTCTCTCTCTCGAGTTCTCATCTAACGTAGCTGCCCCACCATCACATTAAGCTCCTATTTCTCCCTTCCTTGCTAACGTCTTTCCCCTCTCTGCTTGTGCCTTCATCTACCTCTCTCTTGTTACCGATTTTCGTAGCTCAACCTCGCTCACGCCACCCGACACCCTCTTCTGCATCCTTTTCTCTCCCTTCTTTTTCTCCCTTTCTCAGCCGCCTCGACTCCCCACCAACCGGGCAACCCCCACGCGTCGCATTTTTACGCTGGCCTCGTCCTTTTTTCCACGTGGTATACACGTGGAGGTATGAGTCTGGAAGGTGGGGAGGCGCGACCCCTTTTTTTTCTTTACCCTGCCTCTGGCTTTCACGCGAGAGAGCCCTGCTGGTCGTCCGAGACGACGCAATAACGCGTCCACCCTTTCGTCCTGTTGTCTCTCTTTTCTCTCTCGGTTAGAAGAGCAGTGGCAACAAGAAAGAAGCAAAGAAAAGAACGTCGCGGAACGTAGCATCGCGTCGTGTCGCGTCGCGTTTCGTCGCATCCCTCCACTCATACCCACATCGTGTCCACCCTATCCGTATTTCTTCCAACGCGCGTGCGACGAGGGTGGACCGTCACGCGAAAAAAGTTAGCCAATGGGTTAGCCGCCCCACGATGGTGGAAAAATCGAGTGACCTTCGTCGCACGTGCAACGCCACGCGCGCGGCATTTCTTTGTTGGCGCGATGGACTATCGAAAAATGCTCTCTTGCTTCTTAAATAGATATTCTACGACAACGATATCTGATGCAAGATTAATTGTATATGTATACTTTGCTCATATATATATATATATA